GCCCCCCCCCCCCCCCCCTCCGCCCAAAATAAAAAACAACACCCCAACAAACAAACAAATCCCCATCCTCCTGAAAAGAAAAATAATTTTTAAAAGTAATATCTATGAGTACAAGCAACCATTTCGGCGCCGGTTCGTACCTGCGATCGGGATTTCTGCAGTAGCTGTGGGACGAGTTTCTGGACGGGAAGAGTGCTACCCAGGCCATTGGACAGAAACCCCTCATTGAGAAATGGCCTTGTGAGTACCAGGGGTCACATGATAAGCGATGGCCTTTGTTTGTCGTGACGAAGTCCAGGTATCCTTGGTAGTCCCTACCATTAGCGTCCCAGGGCGGGTTGCAGGTGTCAACTACACAACGTTTGGAACGGTGAAAGTAGCGGGTTGAATATATTTTTTCTGTTCTTGTTTATTATTTTCAATGAATAAATAAACCCTCCCGACTATGTCTAAGACACAAATCGCGTCACCTGGGCAGAAATTAAATTAAGGCATACAAAGGAAAGATCGGAAAGTAAGGGGGGGGGGGGCTTTAAAAAAAGAGGGCGGGTGGGGTCAAGGAGATGAAAGGGCGGGGAGGGGGGGAGTTAAAATAGAAAAATGGGAGTTTTAAGACTGTATGAAAGAAAGGTTTACCGTACGGTAAGTCGCATTTGTATAGCAATAAATTCCAGACGTTTCGAAAATACCACATACCAGAGGCTTATCTTCAGTATCCTTCTGACATTCAATCTACTGATCCTTCCATCCACCCGTCTGCCTATACATTTGTACTTCCAACCTTCTGTCGCTCAACCCATTCATCCTCCCATTCACCCATCTACCTTTTCTTCCAACCTTCTGTCATTCAACTTACTCATCCTCCCATCAATCTGTCTACCTATTTTTCAAACCTTCTGTCATTCAACCCACTGATCCTCCCATCCATCTGCGAGGTCAGCATTAGGAACTGTATTTTGCTTCTGGGGCAGCCGAGAATGTTTCTTTGTGTTTTAGGGTCTGTTGGGGGTGATAATAATAGCTGTAAAGCAGCGCTCAGAGCTTGTCTCTGAACGAGATAAACCGATTTATTTATTTAACTACTAATATAAATCCATCTATTTATTTATTTATCATTTTACATAATTTGAATATTGCAAGTGACTCTCACCAATCAATGGTCTTCTTTTAAACATACTGGTTGAAACAAATTACATCAACAGCTCTTTTTGGACGCAGAAAAAATAGAACATTTTAGCTGTAGCTTTACTAACATCCGGATTTTCCAAATGTGTTATAAAGTGGTCCGTAGTGCACTGGCTGGATGAGCAATCTAAAGATAGTGGGTAAGATTCTCTACTTTATAGACCTGCTCTGGACATTGCACCCCCTTGGACCAGAAATGCTTGGTCTCGGTTACCTGATTTTACTAATCTGTTAATCTGGTCCATTTTGAAGTACGGAGTGTGTGGATGATAGAGATATGTGCCTTTAAGGGATTGCGGCGCTGTATGTCTACAGGGAAACTGACATGGGAATGTGAACTGACTGGGGGACTGTAGAGAAAAGTAAAGTCGCTTACGAGCCAACCATTGGAGAGAGTGCACTCTTTGACTATAATGAGAAATGTCCCAAGTTTTAACTCATTGAATCCACACGGTGTGGTCATTCGAAAACGTCTGAAAACTCGTTGTTTTGGGGCACTTTAAACAAGAAGCGCCACTTCGTTATGGAGACAGATTATTCTGTTCTGTCTTTTTTATCTAATACTTTAAGAGGCAAACAACTAAACGTATAGGATATATATATATATATAATATATCAAAATATGTGTTTTTCATTCGTGTATGATGGTTGGACAACATTGCATCAATTGCTTTGCCGCTTATCGAATATGTGTGTCCACTGCGTGCTTAGAGGGTTAACCTTTTCCTACAGGAGATCCTTGAGGAACTTACGACAGGCATTTACTCCACAACTTTCCACGACTCCATTGACGTAACACCAAGGGCGGTCATCATTGTTAGAAATCTCGGAATGATTAAAGGGTCTCGGGATACCTCTGTGAAGGAATAAATCAGGAAAAAACATGGCAACTCAGTAATGTTGAAGAGGTCGAGTGAAAAACAGGTTAAGTCACATATACCCTACCACGGCAAAGTCTGTTTTAAACTGTTAAAAAAAGGACTTAGCTTGTTCTTAACTTGATTTGATCAAACAAAAATTGCTCTTGAATGACTTGGTTTTCCCCTCCGTCGAATTCTCGGGGATATTTTACAGGCACAGTTGTAAGATAAGGGATGAATGGAGAAAAATGATAAATGATCGCCCATGTTTGTTGCAGATCTGGCACTCGATGATGACGATGATGATGATGTAAGATAAGAGCTAGTGCCGTGATTTCTTCTAATAATGGACGTATCCTATTTTCACGTGACCCTCAGTTGCACGTGCCAGCTAAATTTCGTAAGGTAAAAGTTTGCCGGTTAACTTAAGGAATCTTGTTTAGCCCGAATGTGTGGCGGCACAAGACCACCAGTCGCTTCTCACTGGGAGTATTTCCGAGATAATAATAATAAT